ACCCAAACCCATCGGTTCTCTATTCGGGTACCCGTTCGGATATTTAATTTATGAAGAATCGCTCGGCTCGGTTCGGTTCGGTTCGGTTCGGGTTCGGTCCGGGACTTTTGAACACCCCTACAGTTTTCTATGTAAGCTTATAAGTTGAGGACCACAATTGCAGTTTTTCGTGGAAACGACCCAAAAACTCAATTGATCCGGAAATAAAAGGAGTATAAACATTTGTTTTTTCAGCTATATAGCCATGTTTGTCTACCATTAATAGAAAAATAAGTTTTAAAATAGTGAATTTCTAAAGAATGTGTGGTTAAAAAATAGAAAAAAAATTATGTTTGTGCGCAAACTATTTTACTGTGAGAATGTGATTGAAAATAAATTTGAAAAAAAACAAAATTTGAAATAACAATGGACTAACATGGGCTTAGCTGTTAACATTTGATTGATTAGTGATGACAAAACGTGCAGCCCATGTCCAAATCTCTCCACTTTTATACCTCGGAAGTGACGAGAGAATGAGTTGCAATTAGTTTCCTCCAAATGAATGAAAACAAACATATAATACACACAGAGAATGAGTTGTAAGTAGTTTCTCAGAACGTCCAAAAAATTCAACAGAACACTGAAGTGCAGTTACAAACTCATGGTAAAGGGTGCATTCGAATTCACTCCAAATAAGAAAATCCAGATTGTAATACACACACAAACCCAAACAAATAATTCATAAAAGACAACCATCAACCACAAAATCATCAGTAGAATAAATGTGGGATCTGAGAAAGCAGATTTAAGTAAGATCGTCCTCCTCCAGCTCTTTGGCCTTCAAGGCCTCCTTCACTCTTAATAGAAGAGTCGTCTTCCAAGCATCCTATGATCCAATGTAATACAGGGAAGAGAGAAACTGTAAGTAATAAAACGAGAAAAGAATTCATCTGATCAATCAAAACATGATGACAGTAAAACGTGGCTAAACTTGAATTGATAAATCACTTATAAATTAAGCCTATGTTTGGCCACCATTTTTTTCAAAAACTCATTTTCAACCCATAAATTCTCCTGTAAAATAATATTACACATAAACCGATAAATTTTCCTTATTTTTAAACCACACATTCTCCAACAAAACACTATTCAAAAATACAGTTTTTGTAAAAAAATGGGGCTCAAACAAGGGTTAAACATCAATTCCCCTAGATTTATTAATCAGGAAACAAAAATATAGGTGCAAGTCTAATAAAAAAAATCTGGACACGCTCTCCTCCTTTTGCCATTCAGCCCCTATATTAGCAATTTCCTCTATAAAAAATCTAAGGATTTGATTCTTCATAACTGACTCTAAGGGAGTTAACTCAGTGCACCCGAAACCAATCTAATCACTTCTCCATACAAAGCCTTGTATGAAAAGATTTATGGGTGGAAAAACAATTAAAAGTTTCATTATGCATTTTCATCAACTAAGACAAAACTGTGCATCATCATGAGGGAGAGAGATCAAATAGCGAGTATTTGTTACTACAGACTAATTTTCCAATTATGCAAGTCAGCAAAAGAAAAGTAACTTATAGGAAATAGTAGAATGGAGTTCAGGGAACAAACCAAACATGCTAGCGTCATGTTGAAGAACAGTTCACAAATATACAATGTAGTAAATTTCAGGCAGCAGTCGGCAACTTCAATTAAAAATGAGATGTGGGAATAGCTAACCTTAATTATCCGAATATCAAATTTATAACAATAAGCCCGTTCAACACGGTTACAAGAAATGGTGCATTCAAAACTGCTGCTCTATCAGTAACCAATGGACCATGAATGCTATAACTCATCAGGACCCACCCATGGGAATAAGTAACAAATTTTATCACTAAATTATTTCATGCTCGGACATCAATCAAAGTCAGCCTCTTCTCTCCACTCTCACTACCATCTCAATTTCCAAATTGTTCCATCCTGAGGAAGCTAAGCTCGTCTAGCCAACTGTTCCATCCCAAGGAAACTACTTTAAGTCAGTTTCCTCTAAATACTCTTCTAGCCGGACAAAACGCTTTCAAAATATTATCCAAACATATTCAAAAGCAACTTCTTAGTTTCAAAAATGGCTTTTGACTTTTTAAAAGCCCCTGTTAAACAAGACCTAAAAATATTAGAAAAGAGAATAGAGTTTAAAATATCTGGTTCAACGAAAAGTTTGTCGTTCTTGTTAAAGTCTCGTTAACAACACATGATAGTCTAGTAATATTGAGACTTATAGGCAAAAAATGTAACAAGCTGAGTTTAAGGTTAACTAGCAACAAGATACACAGAAATTAGTATTCTGCACATAATACACTATCAAACACAAATGGTATTCAGCCATTCACTTGAAGCTTATAGAGATTAATTTAAATAAATGCATATAAGAAACACGCCAATGAAATTCAAATTCACAACTTGAAATTCGAATGCAAGTTCAAACATAACTTAAATAGCATAATACAATTACCAGCTGCGTCATGCTGTCGAATTCCTTGATAGCGCCAGTGAACTTGGCAATATCTTCCTCATCAATAGCAGCAGCTAGATCCTGAGATCAACAGATACGTAATGTCTACCAATCACTTTATCATATTAATTCTATTACTTTGGCAGGTAAGATAAAGTGAATGATACACAAGTAGTTCATCCACAACCATACCAGCTAAAAGAAATGAAAAGCAATAAAACCACACATGGGTAGTTTAAACAATATGAAAAACCATTAGCAAATAACTGGACAACATTCATTCCCATTAAGAAGGGAAAAACAAAAAATTTAAAGACATTGTGAAAATGGAAAAATTAGAGATATGCTTGTGATCCACAACATACCGCTAGCAATTTGTATTCACGTGTTCCTGAAAATGTAGGATCCAATTCCTACAAGAGAAAATCCAAATGCATATCCTTAGCATGTGCATAGAGAAACAGGGACAGATCTGGATGAAAAAAACAGATGTACCTGGTATCGCTCTAAAGCATTGTTGATTGCAACAACATCACCCTTGCAGAGTTGGCAAATGCCAGCATTAAGAAGGTGCCCTTTAACTCCATACTTCAATAAGTTGTTGTTGAGTGATTGCCGGGCTATCTCTTCATAAATCTCAATTGCTTTTGGATACCTGAGAAGAAATCGACACATTAGTTCTTTCAGCACCCCTAAAACTTTATAAATCATGATGTAATTTCCAACTGAATAAAAACAGCAAATCAGACAAGCATGTGTTCAGTATGTATTGGTCATGTCTTTTTTCTCTGCCTGTTTAACCAAAGAAAGAAATACATAAATAGGTATATGTACTGACATTGATAATAAATTACCTGTAAGAAAAAATATTTATTAAGATTACTAAATAAACCAATATTGCAAGGATAAAAATAATTTTTAATTAAAATAAGTGGCAGCCTACGTAGTACAAGTCCATAAAATGGATACCATGTTGACAAGTGATGTGGAGATTATCAATAATTATGTATTAAATGTGGTTGATCTCTTTTTGATCTAAGATGTGTTTGTTTGCAGCCAAAGTCAATGGGTGATAGAGGTAATTTGGAGTTGGAGATTACAGACCACATTTCTCATATATTGTATACTGGAATTTTATATGCATTCATAAAATAACAAAATGGCCAAGAATAGGAATTATGGAAATATTTCCTTCTATAGCTTGTAACCTAGGAATTATTATTTTTCCTTTTAGTAATAGGATTTTATATTCTTCCGTTTTTCTTTTCCTTCTTTTGATAAGATTGCACTCCTATATATTCGATATTTGGATTGATTGAGTGTGTAATAAATCACACAGCCTAAATCCTAAGTTGGTATCACAACAAGTTTTATCTCAGATTAATCTTGCAATTGTTTCCGTTCTTCGGCAAAAGGCCTTGTGCCGCTTGTCTGATCAAGTTGTTTAGTTTCTTATTAGATATCAATTTTGGTTCCTTTGATTGTTAAAAAAATAAAAAATTAGGGCCCCTAAAATTAGGGTCTCAAATTGAGCCCTAAAACCTTTTACCCTCTATCTCTGGCAACCCTTCACCCCTAAGGTTCCAAAAATTGGGATTTGAAAATTTAGCTCCAAATTGCAAAAAAACCTTAATTCAGGAACCAACAAAAAGAAAAGGGAATTTTTTTTGAAACCATTCAAATTTGTCGAACCTTCGTACCATTGACCCAAATTTTTGGCAACCCTTAGGTGAACTTACTGTGTTTCCTTTACACAATGTGTTCATACAAATATACGTATATAATTATATTTATTAGAATATCTTTTAAACGTATTTTAAGAAAGAAATTTATTTGACTAGAATTTGATTTGACTTCCATAAAAGTGAAAGTCTTACCCTAAAGACTAATGGTAGTTACAAATATAATGTGTATTAGTATGGAAAAATGTGTAACCTAATAAATAAAACAAATCTTCATTGATGTTATTTTCCAAAATGGTATTAAGCATTGGTCAAACTCTATTGAGCCATTATTTAAACCCCCAAAAAACCCAAGCCACTTCTCTCTATACTCACTGACACACACACAATATTCACTCCATACATATTGATTTTCTTGTTGAAGAAAGGTCAAGGCATTAATCTGAATTTTCGTCTAATCCTTTTAAGCTCCACGTGAGTGTGGTGTTATTATTTTTTGGAATAAGATTTATGGATCCTAGATGAATATGTTTATGATAAGTAGACAGGAGTTAAGTAGCGCAACATACAAATAAATCTCTACCACCTAAGTTCGGTATTTTACTTGTGTCTCCTTTATGTATGATATTATTCATTTCCGAAATTTTAACACGATTTTAAATTTAAAGTGCACACTTATTAAGTATTATATCATCCCCACCTTTTACTCTCTTGCAGAAAATTAGCAGTTCGAGGCGTTCAAGCGAGGAGATGGCTTACAAGCCGAATTTATTGAATATGTCCAAAGAATAATTTTTCTAGTTATGGTTTTAAGTGATTCTTTTGTTTGGACAATTTTTTTTCTATTTAAGTTATTGAACCCAAGACTTTACTTTGAATGTGGGGGATACGAATTAGCAGATCATATTAACTAGCTAAAAAATAGGCCCAAATGCAATGGAACATGTTCCCAGAAACTGCTATACTTTAGATATGACACGAGGCATACTCGTATAAACACATCAGAAATGTCATGTAACATATGGTAAGTGTGCAGAAAGCAGGCAAACATACTGTTCCAGTTGAGCAGCAAACTGCGCAATTTTCTGCTTGCACTGATTTGCAGAAGTTGTTACTTCCTCACTTAAGAAAAGATCAGCTGATCTTTCATAGTAATTAATAGCCTGCTCCAAGTTCTGTTCTTGCTCATACAACTCAGCAATTTCCTGAAAACAAAACAGGACATAACAAATTAATATCTTTTCAATTATTTACAAGAATTTTTTATCTGCCTATGATTTTCATAGCCGATCCCAAACCAGACAAAGAAACAAGGTTACACTAGGTTGAAAATCAGCGCAAAATTTTGTCAAATCTCATAGCATGAGTCCTAATACAAGAAATGAGAATATAAGACAACAAATAGGACTGACACTGATTGAGATCGAGTATAAATCAAGGAAGGATGACTTAGGTGGTTGGAACAAGTTTTGTATAGGCCCAAGATCTTTCATTCATAAGAGTCATGAGATTGGTAGAACATGTCAGACGAAAGAACTAACAAGGCTTGTAATAGTTGCTTAGAGTTTAGTTGCCATAGATCTTCGTGTAGATCTAACAATGAACTGAACGAAGTGCTAGAAAATGTTTCATGTATCTGTACCCAAATTTATTGGGGGAAAAGCATAGTTAGTTGTTATATAAAAAATCTTAATTTTCATTTGTAATAAAACTGGGTTCTTCAACAATGTCAATACCATTGCATTGAGAATCATATTACCATTGGATTGAAAATCACATGATTCAATAACTCATTCAAGATCAGTAATATGTCCTACTTCAACCAAAGTGCAGAACATGATGATTAACAAAACAGATATACAGCAACAAAGGTTATAATATTACTAAATTTTCTACCTTGTAATATCTAGCAGACATGTTGAGTCTTCCAATCTCCAGAAACAAATTCACAGATTGCTCCAGGCATGATATTGACTCTGCAAAGCATCCCATGTGAACAAAAGAAAGATATCGTCCAAGCATGAAAATGGTAAGGTAAGTAGCAAAGGTAAAAGACAAACTATCAAACGAAGAAAGAAGAACAAAAAGTGAATGATGAAATATGACATAGCAAAAGTTATATAAGGGATCAACTAGATTCATGTTTGCCAGTAATCTTATCCATCATGTCCTCATAAATATAAAACAACCTCATGAAGCCCAAACCCCAAGGCATCCAAAAAATAAAAAAAGGCTACCTTGATTGCCTAGATTTTACAATTTTATTTGGTAATACATAAATAACGTTCTCTAAATTTTATGAGAAAATTAGTGGCCAAATTAGCATTTTTAGCGAGTTAAGTTCACAAAACTCAATATGAATAGAATAAGTGTAGTAACTACCAAAAGAAGTCACAGTCAAAATCTTGCTATAAATGGGCAAGCAGACAAAACTCCGAGGTAATTGATAACTTTAATAAACTTGGGATAAAAAGACCAGAACCTTTAGTGTTAGTCTTTTTGTAGCAATGAGCAGCATCAGCGTAGGCATTAGCAGCCTCATGCTTGCTATCCAACTGTAAATACAAAGCCAGGTAAATATATAGAAGTGGAGCATTGGAGAAAATGTGACAGAAAAGAAAGAAAATGTCTTGCAGCCTAAAGCAAGCCACATGAACAACCAATGACATACCTTCAAGTGACAGCTAGCCAACTTAACATACACTGCACCAGCTTGATCCCCTGATAAACCCACATTTCAAAATTAACAAGTAAGATCACCACATACTGCATTAGCGAAAACATTTTCTTGAGACTGGTTTTTGTGATTTTCATCAAAATTTTGATTAATATGGGATGGTAGTCTAGTTCTTCATATTCCAAAACTGGATACAGCTAACAAGAGATTAAAACAACCAGTCTGAATTCGCTTAGGAATCAAATTCTAAAAACTGTGAACCTGATCTCAAAAAAACCAACATGCACGCAGTGGCCTTATTGTTACCACCAAATAAAGTTAAACGGCAGAGTAGAAGAAGCTAAAACTGAAGAAACTAAATGATAGAGATATCCTTTCGTTCCAACTCCCCTTTTTATTGATTAAACTTCAGTTTTTCCAAAATAAAACTTTCCATCCAGTCACAACAAGATCCTTCACCAGTCAATTCCAATAAAATCTAAATAAATAAAAACCCTATACGGCTATAACAATTAAAACAAATCAATATCAAGATCGCACCACCGCATATATTAAAATTAACACAGAGACATAACAAATCATATTAAAAAATCGATTAATAATAGTATGACAATTGAGATTAATCAAATGAATTGTCTTACAGGATTTGCCAAGCTTGAACGCATTGGCAGCTTTGTCGAATAAATCGGCAGCGTCTTCATATTTGGAGCTAAAGAGACCCCATCCGCTCAACTTTTTCTCCGCTTTCTTCTCGAATTCTTCTCCCCGTGCGATTTGATCGGCCATTTTTTTCCACCGCTTTTCTTCAAGTAAGCGATGGTGATTTTGCTGATGTTCGAAGAAATGTGAAATAAATTATACGGGGAAAAACGAAAAAGGAGGTGAAAATATCAAAAAGTAGGGAGGTTGGGATTTTTTGCTATCAACAAGTTTCGTTTGTGACTTTTCAGTTTTGACCAAAAACTAACCGTGTTGATATCTGAAAGGCCCAGTCAATATTTGGACTTTGTTAACAAGCCCAACGATGTCAGGGCCCAGCTTCCAGTAATTTTTACCCGAAAATAGCAATAAAATAAAGTTTTGGGTTAAAAAATAGCAATGTGGTGTTAAAAAAAATGGAAATTACACCATTCTCTACTTTTGGAGATCTAAATNTCAACTACTACTTTAATTTTATCAATAAGTAAATAAAGTGGAAATTATAGGAATCACTACTTTTCAAGATTCAAGTTCAAAAATCAGATGTCAAGTTTTAATTTTCAAAAATCAGATATTTTATATATAGATACAGATTTTTTTATATTAATAATAATATAAATTAATTTATATACACCCCCTACCCTATCTACCCATCCAAACCCTAAAATGAATTTATCTCCTCTCATCTACTCTCTCTCACCACCGTCTCTCTCAAACCCAAAATGAAACCGCTGTCGCCTCCTCGCCGTTGCAGCAACCCACTCGACGTGACCGCTAATGTTGCGACGGCGATTGGCAGTGTAGCGTCATCTCCTCTCCATTCTCTCTCACCACCATCTATCGCCTCCCTCACTCCAACCTCCATCCATTCTCTCTCTACACTGCCCACCATCATCTCCCGCCACAACCACTCACGGCCACCATTTCAGGAGCCATCGTCGGCGACTTCGCCCGACACAACCACCACATGTAAACAGCGGAAACCAATTGTTTCTCACCATAACGTAACCTAACCCCATCTACAGTCTCCTCAATTCAATGCAGCTTCTCCTGCGGCCAATTTGTCCTACCAGAAGAAAACGAGAGTATAAAATTAAGCCCCCATTTTTCAAGCGCTTACGGAAGAAAAACTTCCCTGAATTGCATTTTACGCGTCATATAAACTGGATATGGTCTCTCAAATCATTGATCACGATAACCCAATAACTCCACTTCCTATGAGGCCGCCCATAACCCAATTTTACTCTCGGCGCTGGAAAAGAATAGACGAAACTGATATCGTTGAGAAGTCTGTGGGTGATGAAGGGTTAATGAAGGAGAAGAAGAGGAGGAGGGTGGGAAGCACCGAATTAACCAAATTGGGGATTAATTGTAATGCATTGAGTAATTTAGATCACCAGCTTAGGTTACGAATATTGGAAAATGATTTTGGTAAAGTCAGTAAAAATAGGAACTGTCGGAGTAAAGTTAATTATAGTGAGTATTAGGAAGCGTAGAAATAGTGATCTTTTGTAAACAAGTCGAAGAATTCAAGGCTTTTGACCAAGAAATGGGTTAGGTACGTTTTACTCTATTTTATAGGCTTCATTCGATGATGCCTTGGTTAGTTTCAATTCACCAATCATTGTTTTGGTTGATTTCATTAAAAGAATCTGTGCCATGGTTATATAATCCGTGACCAATTAGTTTGAAAATCTGTGACTATGTGACTTATAAATTTTGAATTCTATGATTGACGAATTAATTGTGACATACAATTTTTTTTATACGTGACCATTAAAAAATCTATCACCAACTAATTTGAAAATCTGTGGCCTGTAAATAAACTGTGAACAAGTTATAATCGAGTTGTGACCAATAAAAGTTTTGATTTGTGATTGATAAATAATTTGTGACCTATAGAATTTTTGATTCGTGAACAAGAAATAACCTGCGACATATAAAATTATGACAAAAAAAGAATGTGTGACATAAAAAATTGTTAATTTGTAACTGTCTATAAGTCGCGACTTATAATATTTGTGATTTGTGACCGATAAAAAAATTGTGACGTATAAAAATTTTATATATGATCGATGAATAAATAGTGACAAATAACATTTTTGATTCGTGGCCGATTTGAAATGAATGAAATGTAAAGGCAACTGAGCACAGGATTG